TTCTATTCTGGATTTAACAGGAAGCCAATGAAGAGAAGCCAGGATATGAGAGAAATGATCTCTCTTTATAATTTCCATCAGAACTCTGCAGCATTTTGGATCAGCTGAAGGCTTTTAACTACAGTTTGTGGACTTCCTGATAGTAAAGAATTACAATAGTCCAGCCTTGAAGTAACAAACGCATGGACTAGTTTCTCAGCATCACCCCTGGACAGGAGATTTCTAATGTTTGCAATGTTCCTCAGATGAAAGAAGGAAATTCTAGAAACCTTTTTGATATGGGATTTAAATAACAGGTCCTGATCAAAAATAACACCAAGATTTTTTACTGTATTATCTGAGATCAATTTAATCCCATCTAAATGAAGTGACTGACCAATCAGCTTCTTCTACAGAGACTTCGATCCAAAGACTATCACTTCTGTTTAGTGGGCATTTAGAAGCAGAAAGTTAAGGGTCACAAGTGTTTGTCTTCAAGGCATGCCTGTAGTCTCTCTCTCTCTCTCTCTCTCTCTCTCTCTCTCTCTCTCTCTCTCTCTCTCTATATATATATATATATATATATATATATATATATATCCCTGTTATGATTTCCATTTTTTATGATTTATAATTATTATTTTGGTCAATTTTAATTTATTTTGCTGGCAGCTGAGTTTTTATGGGTAAAGGGGCATCTTGAATAGTAAAGAGAATTAGCACTAGCACTGACCCCTGTGGTACTCCACAGGCAACTCTGAAGCATGCGGAAGATGTATCATTAACGTGAACAAACTGATATCTGTCAGATGAATAAGATTCAATAGCAACTGGTGAAAAATAAATCATGGAGACAGTAAGAAATTATAGAAACAAAAAAAAAACATTCGAAGACTGAAGTGAAATAGATATAACTGTAAAAATAATCAAAACCATTAACGGACATCTGGAATTTGTCCTTTCATTCAGGTAAGATTTCTAATGAAATAAAAACCCTGTAAATAAAACACTCTTTTTATTCGACAAAAGTAATAATAAAATGGAAAATTAGTTGAAAACCATAACCAACTTATTGAAAGCCAGCATTTATTACATACATTTATTTACATACAGTATATGTATATATACATATATGGAGCAACACAAACTAAACGTATTTCTAAAAAAACAAAAAACAAAAAAAACGATAAACTTGAGTAAAACAAAGAAAAAATACATTTTATTTTATGTTTTATATTTTTGGGAGTAGTAACAGTTGGAAGAGCTGCATGCGAGCTGAAACTGCCGACACTTTTTGGTGAGCCGAACTAGTTCTCTAAAAATGATCTTATAAACTTCACCCCAAGAATAAAAAGAGCAGCTGGACCCATTGGTGGCATTGTGTAGGAATGATTGGTTTAACAAAGATGTAAACCAAATAAAAGGAGAATATAGATTCCAGGAGAAACAGAAACGATCACCATGGGACAAAATAGGGAGATTGTTGCAGAGTGCCTTGGTTTTCACTTGGAAGGCCAGGCCTTGAAGGCCAGGAGTGTCAAATAGTTCTGATTGTCTTCCTCTTGTAGATTTCTTTCCAGACAGTAGAATGGATAATAGTAGAAACTTTTGAGACCAAAGTCCACGACTCAATGCAGTATACTTGGTGTCTTTAGATAGAAAACATTTAACTAATCTTTCTAGATGATTTGGTTGAATTGACTCTTTGAACTTGATCCAACATTCTCTCAGCAATACCCCCCTGTCATTGTCAAATACAGGTGCACTGCTCTGGTATGATATTGGGCAGGGTTTCGTATTTGAACGAGTACCCGCCATCGGACGTGGTGGTGATCCTCAGTGACCTCATGGCCCCGGGGACTGGAGCGCAGCACTGAGCGATCCCTAACAGGGTGGCGGTCCGATCCGTGGCCGAGCAGTTCCCATGGCAGTAGTAGAAAGTCAACACCTTGGGATGAACGATCCAGCTGTCCCACCCCAGCTCCTCAAAGCTGATCTCAACCTCTTCCCTTCGGCAGTCATCATGATGGGGCCCCTCAAGGGAGGGCCGCTGGAGGAGGAGGAGGGCAGAGGGAGACCAAGGGATGGTGATGGGGGCCTCTCTAGGGGAACGAACAGGCACTTTGGGATGAAGCCGGAGATGGAGAAAAGGTGTCTTATCTAGATCGTTAATGTGGTTCTGACAAGATGAACACTTGATCTGAAGCAGAAAAGGGCCCCCAGGTACAGCAGCAAGAACACTCTGTTCCAGATCAAAGGTGGTCCATCCGTCTGAGCTCCCCCTTGGAGGAGCCTGTGCTGCCTGAAGACGCTGCTGCTCTGAGGTGAGAATAATAAGCGTTGCAGAGGCGTTCACACCTTTCCCAACATAGAACCAGAAGTGGGCCGATGCGACTACGGTGTCCTGGAAGGAGGCAGAAGGCTGGAAGTGGTAGGATAAGGCACTGCTGGAGTCTTCTCTCATTTCAGTATCAGACATGGCACAAGATGGATCTGCCAAAGTAGACAGGAGTCAAATGAGTTTACTGACCTCTAGTGGCGTAATGCAGCATTACATAGAGCGCATGTATGTCAGTACAGTGAGTTGAAAACCTTGAACACCTTGTTCAGACTTTGTTTTAACGCAGGTGTTTGATAAAAAGTAACTTCGACTCAAACACTATTAAACCCACCCATAATTATGAAGCAAGGTGGTGGCAGCATTATGGTGTTGGTTTTTTTTTTCTCTGCAGCACTGGCAAAATCTCATTATTGAGTCTGTTGTGACTTTTATTAAAGGAAATCATGTCAGATTATACATACAGGCTCTAATATGTTATATTTACCTAAATAATTTCATTTTCTGTCTTTTGACTTAACAAGACCTATAAACCTCTAGCAGGCAGTCAGGATGGACCACAGCAGGTTCTCCTTACAGCTAAAAAACTTTATAGAGAGCTGCTACTTCAGAAAAGACGAAGGTTGAAGTATTTAGGGTGAAGATGAGGCTTTCAGAACTTAAAACATGAGACCCAGCTGTCAAGCAGGGGGTGGATTCACCATGCTGTGGATCTGCTTTGCAGCCAGTCTTTATAAGAATTAGTTTATAAAGGTATGCTTTATTCTTTTGCACAATTATTTGAGGGTGGGTTTGCTTTACACTGAAAGAAAAAACAAGTTCAAATTAATTAATTAAAGCCAGATACTTGCTATTGATGTGCACAATGACAATTTGTTGACAATTTTATGCAAATAAATAGAAAAGCAGCATAACGTTCAATCTGCAAAGAAAGAAAAATTGAAACTGTTTTACAAAATTGAGATAAGATAAATATTTCAAAAAAGTTTTTCTTAAAACCCTTTTGATTAAAAGTTTCATTTCTGGATTTCTTTTTTTTTTCTATTACAATGCAAACTTTTTTTTTTATTTCTTTCAAATTTCCATTTACAAATCTGTCCTTTTCTTTCAACAACAATGGAACAAAATGTACTGTTTGCTCTATAGGTTCCAGTCAAGTAGGATCTAAGTGCATCATCTACCAAGCATGCATCTCACAGGTGAAAAAATGATGACCTTCATGTCAAATAACAAATATAATCTAATTTCTCAGGTAATTGTGAGTTTTTACGTATCAGAAACAGCATTTTTAGGTAAATAGGAAAACTGGAATATATTTAGACCAACATGTTCAACTAAAGTACTTGTGGATCCCTTTAAAAAAATAAAATCTTTAGGTAATTTATTGATTTTTTTTCTTTCTTGACATTTAAAGTTAAGTGCTTAAAGCAGCAAAGTGTGAATATTAAAAAAAAACAAAAAAAAACTGTCATTTCTCACCTGGACTGGGAAACAGAATCAGTTCAGATGGATGGTGATGCAGACTGCTTTGAGGTCTGCTGGTCTGAGGGACCCTCGCCTGCCGGTGCCTCGCCTCCCGTCTTGTTCTTTCCTGATTTGGGCTGTGCTCAATGAATAAAGGAGGCTGTAACAGCCCCAGGCCTTCCAGAACCCGCTCCCTGAACCAGGACACCACAACACCTCTGGGTAGCTTCTCTGTCCTGCAGATCTGAGTCAGACTTTGGATCCAGAGAGGACCAAGGATGAGGACAGCACAGGACACCATGACTACACCACTTTACCAGACCTAGCAGTGCTCTCTCTGTGTGACTGTCTTTATTTACTCTGATGTTTGGGCTCTGCTGCTATCTGTGTTGAGGGAAGTCTGCAAGCTGATAGCAAAGAGCGACCTTGAGGAATGAGATGTTGGACTGTTGGGTGTTTTGTTTTTCTTTTAGTTAATTTTGCCAATAAAGTAATTTCTGTGTTTCTTCAACTTTTACAGGACATCTATGCTCATCTTTATAAATAAAAAGCCTTATTGATCTTAATGAAGTTGCATAAAATGTGACTTTTATCCTGCAGGTTTTGGTTTCGTATCAGACAGAGAAATACAGAAAACAGACCTGCTTGAAGTGTAAACATCCCCTACAAATATCCACAATCACTTTTTATTAGCTTATATTTTTAAATATAATGCAAAGGTCTTTAGTTTCATCCTTAGTTTGAAAAGAAAATCTGTTTCCTTTATGTCTGGTTTAAGACACTGCTGTAAAAAAAAAGTTTTTGGAGTCTAAAGAGCAAGGTTAAATGTGACAGTTACATTTTAATGTTTATTTTAAACATAATTTTCACTAGGAATTGAAAAATATTTTATATTTAAGGTTTAAATATATGAAAATGTCAAAAATAAAAGAGTTGTGTAGAAAAATACCATAAAACAATATTGTAAAATAGCCTCCTCTGTGGTCAGAGTTTATAATTACAGGATGCCTTTGACTTTGAAAAAAAGTGTATTATTATTTAATTGTATGTTTTTTTTTTTTTTTTTTTTTTTTTTACAATTGCTATTCCTTCTTTTTTGCGTTGCACTCAGTTTGATAAGCTTAAACAACATTTTATGAAATGGCTTGACCGAATTCAGGAAAAATACATAGATTTTCTGAAAAACTGCAGTCTCTCTGATATTCAATGACGCTTTCTTCATTTTATTAGTTTTTTTAAATGGTTTTTAATTTGCTTTAACTTTGCTGAACAAGTGTAGCTTATGTTTGCCTGAGGATATTTATTCACACGTTGAAAAACCCTCATAAATATAACCATTTGATCAGCACCTGTTCTTACATGAAATAATTATACATTCTTTTAGGTTCAGATTTCATTTTTGACTGCTTCCAACAACTCTGCCACCGGATGGCGCTGTTTTGTTAGACTCTGAACATACAGTAACCCTTCTTCAGCTGTAAGAATACTTATGCCAGCAAGTCTGACATATTTTAGGTAAATATTTGTTATTTAAGCTCTTTTTTAACACTAAAATACAATAAAATCAAGGAAATATATGGAGATATTTGAAGGTTTGGATGACAAAGCTGTTTAAAGTGGACATACTGTATTTCTGTCTAAACCCAAATCACCTGCAACTGTGACCCCAAAAATAGAATTACTTCAGTCATTATAAATTTAGAAATGTAAACTGAATTCATCTTTAAATAAATGTATTTTTAAAAAAGACATTTAATTTCATTTATAATTTTAGATGTATTTTTAATTTTATCATGAGACAATAAAGTGTTAAGCGGCACATTTTCCAATCTAATATTTCCTATTTTAATTGTATATTAGATCAGGAGTTCCTCAAGTGGGGATCAGGACCCCTGTGGGGTCGCAATACATCAAGACAGGTGTTCTGAGCTGGTTTTCATAATAATAGTGATGGTTGATGCATATAGAGGGGCAAAATATACCATGAAAAACATAAATGTGATTGTCTCATACGAAAATAAATGTACAATAAAATAAGTTTATTTATTTATTTATATTTAAAACAATTAAACTAGGGTTTCCAAAATATTTTTGGCTGTGAGAGGATGTCGGAGTACCTGGAGAGAACCCATGCATGCACGGGGAGAACATGCAAACTCCGTCCAGAAAGACCCAGAGACTTTTCGCGGTAAAGGCAACAGTGCTACAAACTGCGCCACAGTGCAGTCAGTCTAATCATCATTAAAATATAATAGTTGAAATATTATTTAACTCATGAATTTTATGGTACATTTCTTTAATTCATTGGACATTCACGTTTCTGTGTTTTATGACATATTTTTGCCCCTTGTGAACATATCACAATGATAAAATGTAAAAATCATTTCAGGCCTGCCCTTAGGAGGTCCAAAAACCTACTTTGGGATTCCTGCATTAAATATTAAAAAAAACATTTAAAAATCCATCCATCCATTATCTGACACGCTTGTCCCAAGTGGGGTGGCAAGTAGTGCTGGTGCCTATATCAAGCTGTCTATGGGCGAGAGGCAGTGTCCACCCTGGACAGGTTGCCAGTTCATCGCAGTGCAACACAGAGACAAACAGGAAGAACAACCATTCACACACACACACCTAAGGAGAATTTAGAGAAGCCAATTTACCTAACAGACATGTTTTTGGGCTGTGGGAGAAAACCAGAGTACCCGGAGAGAACCCATGCATGCTCAGGGAGAACATGCAAACTCCAAGCAGAAAGACCCCAGGCCAGGATTTGAACCCAGAACCTTCTTGCTGCAAGGCAGCAGTGCTACCCACTGATCCACTGTGCAGTCCCACATTTAAAATCATGAATTGAAAAAATCTATTTAAACATACTTTTATTCTGAACTACATATAATTCACATTATAAATAAATAGATATAACATCTACTGTACTTATTTCATGGAACATTCAAATGTATGCATTTCATGATATGTTTTGGCTGTCTTTATACCTTAGGAATTACATTACAATGATTGTGAAAACTATGTTGTGACTCCCCCGTCTGGTATCAAGCAAACTCCAAGGGGTCCTGACCCCCACTTTGGGAACCCTTGGGAAAAAAGGAAAAGAAAGAGAGAATTTTAACTTTTTCATTCAATATTTATTTTTTTTTTCATTAAAATCCTTTCCCAACTTGAGAAGTTAGAAAAAGATTTTACCTCCGCCACAATCCACCCCTGTGGATTATGGCGGAGGTAAAAATTGCATAATCAAATATTCCTTGAAAGGTACAAACAGAGGTGCTATGTGAGCGTGTTAATATTGAAATTATTTAAAAAATCCAAAAGAGGCTCTTTTTTTCTGTTTACCCAATCAAAATAGGAAAACAGCAAACCTATAGAAGAACAGGTTCTGCTCAGATTAAAGCAAAAATGAACCCATTCAATAAATGGAGGAAAGTATAACACTATGACCCCTTGACATGCTGTTCCTACAGAAAAACACGGAGGGGGAGGTATTATGGAACTGTGTTTTTTTTTTTTTCAAACTTTACTAATTAAAGATGTTGATCATAATCCAACAACTTATATCCCCACAAAATATATTAAAGTTTGTTCTTGGAGTCTGAATAAAATTGGAATAGTTACAGTACCTGCAAACACCAGCTTTACCAAAAGATCATGATTTATTATCATATAAAAAAAGACAAAAATATTCTGTTAAAGAAGAATAAACTCTGTTTAGTTTCCCAAAGATACCAAAAAGTTATACCATTGCTCCTGTAGTATGAATCCCCAAGTCCTCTTTTTATTCTTAGCTTTTCTTTTTATAGACGCTCCAACTGTCCCTCTTCAACAGTCTCCGCCTTCCACACACACAGTCCCCACATGTACTGTATATTGGCTGATAGTATTATCTAAAGGGCTTGAAAGTGTGTGTGTGTGTGTGTGTGTGTAAGAGTGAGAGATTAGGTCATAAAAGGCAGTCCAAGATATGTGACCTACGTGTGCAGCTGTCGTCCCTTATACCTGACCACTGGTGAAGCAGTAATACAGGATATTTAACTGATTAGAACCCTGAAAAGGTTAAAAGAGTCGCTTTTAAGAAGCGCTCGACTGTGGAGAGACATAAAACAGAAGGCCTGAGTGGGTTGACATTTAGGAAAATGACCTCACTCCCTTTCTGAGTTCTTCGGCAGGGTTAAAGCTGCTGCGGGGGACCATGGCAGTGGCTGCTAATTCTTCCTGATCTAGGGTGGACTTACACCTAAACGTCTGCACTTGCTCAAGGACAAATGATTTGAAATGAAATATTTGGCTCCATGGATCTTGTAACCTTAACTTGGACTTTGTGGGGATGTCCAGAGGAATTACTTACCGTTTCAGTAGCAAAACAAAGGTAAGGTTCACTTTTGATTACATAAAAGTAAAATATGCAAAGCTAATAACTTAAAATGGCAATATCTTCAATATCTAATTATCTAGATAGCATTTTTTTTTTCTCGTACCTTTCAATTTTAACACAACTATTCAAAGGTTAAACAAACATGGACAATAAAGTTTGCACCGTCAGTGTAAAATAAATGGGGTTTCTAATTCTGTCTGGCAAAACAAGTTTATGTTAAAGGTTAAAAGGTTGAACATCCAGCTGTCAGGTCTGGACACCACAGTCAGGCTATGTCTATTAGCAGTTTGTCAGGAGCTCCTGTTAAATGATTTGAGATTGCTTGAAAAAAGGGGAATAAAGATTAGATGTCAGGTTGATGTAGAGACGCCCTCATTCCATCGTGAACAATTTCTGAATTCCCTACATAGTTTATGTGGAGATTTTCAGCGCTGTTATATCAGCAAGGTGGCTAATGATGCTTTCCCAAACAACACAAAACCTGCAAAGATGGCAACTTTGACGCCGGACATTTTACCATTTATTCACATGATTGACAACAATTGGCACAGTGGGTGAAGGCTCCAGTACAATCTGTTTGTTGTCAGATTCACCTCAACATGGAGGACCTGGATTTTAGGAAGCAAGTCACTTAGTTTTATGTACTTTGGAAATCTGAACAAAGCTGCCCCATCGAGCAAAAATTGGTTTAAAAGGCATTGAAAAGACGACTTGATTTACCTCAAAAGGTCTACCTTTGGTTGAAAAGGTGAAAAGCTGTAATTTAAGTCTCATTGAAAAGAGGGTTTGAAATGTCTCTTCCACGTCTGTTACTGGACTAGAGTGGGACAAAATTTGACCGCCAAAACAAGGCCTAATTTTCAACGAATATTTCTGGACTAATCCAGACTATGACAGACCCACCAGATTTAGCCAAAAAGAACATAATCTAAATGAGGTCTGGTGTTTGGGAAGGAGATGAAACAGCAGATCCTCCAGATATCCTGCCAGTTTAGAGAGAGTACAGGAGTCATGGCTGGATAATGGCCTCTTTCTGCAGAACTTAACGTAATGTGAGACAGCATTCTGGAGCTCAAGAGAAGAGCAGTAGAGCAATCAGAGGAAAAAACTTGCAGAGAAAGCAACAATACTGGGATTAGACAGCTGGCAGTTGCCCCCTATGTAGCTAAGAAACCACAGCGGGAGATCAGAGAAGAGAGGAGCGGCAATGGCTCGCCTGGCAAACAGAGCACTAGAGGCCGTTGAGGATGTTCAGTTTCTGCACTGGAGCT